ACTGTAGCTACATACACTTTGTAAACATACAATTGTAAAGTGATGGTTGGGAGGATTCCTGTGTTCCTGAAAATGCAGGAAGGTTGTTATTAATGCTGACACACCTTTCATCTTTGGATTTCATATTCCAGGTGTTGAAGTCTTCAGAGACTCTATCTATAGGGAACCTCTGATTCCAAGAATAAGCCATTGAAAGGGAAATTTGAAAATGATTTTTAAAAAAGGAAGCAAAAGCCAGCATTTAATTGAAAGTCTTCCTTAAATCATGTAAGGGCTGACTTTAACAAAGAAGTCGGTTGTTATGGTATATAATTTATATGAAAAAGTATTCCAAAGGATATTATTCACTGAAACCCATTCACTTACCATGATCAACACTGGTATTCTCATTTTGTCTCATGGTTTATGTATACTTGCCTATTCTCCATTGTCTAATATGCCTAAACTTCTACTTTCTCCTATATTGCTCATATGTTTTAGTCAAAGTGGTCACTTTCCTGCTTCCAACAATATTTTACTAAACAAACATACTCATTTTGTCCCCTGTCTAAATAACAGCCATCATTTTCAAACTCTTAGCAAAGCAACTTACCCCATTTTATAATCATTTAAAACTTCCTTGACTAGTGAAGACTTTCATGATTAAATCAATTGGGCAGGCATCTTTAATTTCTTTTATATACTACAGCATCCAGGTTGGATCACTTGGACCATTTATTACATTAATTTCTCTTTTGTGGATATTTTTATATGTATGTCTGATCCTCTTTTTTTGAAATATAAACTTTTAAAAAGAATAGTTGTGTCTTTTTAAAATATATTTTTATTGATTTGAGAGAGAAAGGGAGAGTGAGAGGTAGAAACATCATTGATGAGAGAGAATCATTGATCGGCTGCCTCGAGCCTGCAACCCGGACATGTGCCCTTGACCAGAATAGAACCCGGGACCCTTCAGTCCATAGGACGATGCCCTATCCACTGAGCCAAACCAGCGAGGGCAATAGTTGTGTCTTATAGTCTAATAGCTCAGAATTCTTAAGTAGTATTTGCTGAACATGTACCTAATAGAATGGTTTGGTTCTCTTCAATTGACTAATAAAATGCATTAAAGTAAGGTAGCTAAATCAGGAAAATATGATGTCTCATCAGCCTCTATAACTTTCCAGAGATACAAATATATTATCCTTAGGCATTACCCTAATTAATATATTAATTGCCATATTGAAAACCTTGGATTTAGCTTAGTTTTCATTCCAGTTTCTTTTTGTTGTTGTCATTAATCCTCACCCAATGATATTCTTTCCTTTGATTCTTAGAGAGAGTGGAAGGGAGGGGGAGAGAGAGAGAGAGAAACATCAATGTGAGAGAGACACATCAATTGGTTGCCTCCCACATGTACCGGAGCGGGGATCCAGCCTGCAACCAAGGTACTGCCCTTGACCAGAATCAAACCTGTGATCCTTCAGTCTGCATGCAAAGCCACCACAGAGCCAAACAGGCCAGGGCTCATTCCAGTTCTTGGTAGTCATGATCTTTGAGACATCTGAGTTTTAATAGTCAATGAGTAAGTACCAATTAATACAGCACACTATAATTTGCTGACATAAAGAAATTTAATATAGAAGGACATGCTGGTAGCCATTTAAACTTTCTTTGTCTCTTATGTGCATAAACCTCTTTCCCCCTTTGTTGTCCAATTGTCTAGGACCAAAAAAAAAAAATCAATGTAGTGAAAATAGCTTTAGTCTCCCTTCTATGAAGAGCCACACTCACAATTTTTTTTTCTGAATTAAAACATAAATCAGCCCTAGCTGGTTTGGCTCCATGAATATAGCGGCAGACCATGGACTGAAGAGTCCTGGGTTCGATATGCCTAGGTTGTGGGCTCAATCCCCAGTGTGGGGCATGCAGGAGGCAGCTGATCAATGATTCTCTCTCATCACTGATGTTTCTATCTCTCTCTCCCTCTCCCTTCCTCTCTGAAGTCAATAAAAAATACATTAAAAAATAAATAAATAAACCAGTCTGGCCGGCATGGCTCAGTGGTTGAGTGTCGACCTATGAACTGGGAGGTCACAGCTTGATTCCCAGTCAGGGCACATGCATGAGTTGTGGGCTTGATCCCTCAGTGTAGGGCCTGCAGGAGGCAGCTGATCAATGTTTCTCTCTCATCATTGCTGTTTCTATCTCTCTCTCCCTCTCCTGTCTTCTCTAAAATCAATAAAAATATATATTTTTTAAAAACTCTTAAATCAGAGTGGTTTCACTGTTTGAGGACCCAAACTGCAGATTTGTACTTTGTGATCATGGGTGTCAAACATACTGGAAGAAAGTAAAAAGAACTCTCTGTCCATTTATTTTGCAGAATAATTAAATACATAGATGAGAATGCAACAGAATAGAAACTATTTGGAATTCACCTGGTATAGCAGCAATACAGCCTAAAGAGAAAAACTCACAAGTCTTTGAAATGTCTTATTAGCTGAGAACTTAGTAATTTGAAGAGGAGAGCTTGATTTTAAGACTGCTGTCCTGGGAGACAAGAACTTTTCATGACCCTATTATTTATAACTAGAGACCTGGTGCACGAAATCCGTGCACTCACAGGGGTCCCTCAGCCCGGCCTGTGCCCTCTCTCAGTTTGGGAGCCCTTGGGGGATGTCTGACCGCTGCAGAAGTGGGAGAGGCTCCCTCCACCACTACTGCACTTGCCAGCCATGAGCCCAGCTCCGGGGTTCTGGTTGAACGGCACTCCCCCTGTGGGAGTGCACTGACCACCAGGAGGCTGCTCCTGCATTGAGTGTCTGCCCACTGGTAGTCAGTGTGCATCATAGCAACTGGTTGTTCCACCATTTGGTCGACTTGCATATTAGCCTTTTATTATATAGGATAGGATGATAACGAGGCCTAACAAAACAAATAGTGAACTGAGGTTGGAAATGCTGTCACTAATACTGGCTAGATAGAGAGCAGCAAAGAATAGTGCCCGAAAAAAGAAATGAAAGGGAGAAAGAGAAGGATTGTCTCACTATTTTATATGTTAGCCTCCCTCCTGCAATGTAATTGAGTGTTAACCAGGTTTCAGCAAGGAAGCTTGAACAAGGAGATAGAAAGTTATATTATACTAGAGGCCTGATGCATGGATTTGTGCACCGGTGGGGTTCCTCTGAGTGGCCTGCCGGGATTGGCCCAAAACCAGCAGTGCAGTGCCGCCTGCCAGTCCTGCCTGCCGCTCTCGCTTATCCCATCCCCGCTGCACCTGCCACTGACTCACATCAGATGGATCCAGAGAGGCTTGCACCACTGCAGCAGCGCTTACCAGCTGTGAGCCCTGTGTCTGGGGTCTGTCTGTCAGCTGAGCGGCGCTCCTGCTGTGGGAGCGCTCTGACCACCAGAGGGGCAGCTCCTGTGTTGAGCGTCTTCCCCCTGGTGGTCAGTGTGCATCATAGCGATGGGTCAAGCAGTCGTTCAGTCAACCGGTTGTAACAGTTGCTTAGGCTTTTATATATATAGATAACGTGTGTGGAAATTATTTCATATAATTGTATTCATTGGAGCCCATTTCTCTCCCATGAGCAAGGTCTGTATTCTCCATTTTGTTTTTTATAAAGACTAGATTTATAAATACTAGACAGTTCTCTCGTCTCTAATATGCCCAAGCTTTGGTTTCCAGTGGCAAGAAACTTGAATGGGAGCCCAACTCTTTGCTAGGGTAAATGACCAAATATCAATTAAGGGTATGACTAAAAAAATAATCTGACTTCCACTTTATTGGTGCAAGTTATTGGGAGCTTTGTACTTCCTACATGACACACATTAATAGACAGGTTGGTATTCAGAGGAAGACCACCAACAATGGCACTGACTTACTGGACTTTTTGGACATCAGCATCCTTAATAATGTATGTGAAAGATGTTAGTGATTAATAAGTTTTTTAGTATAATACTTTTTAAATTATAGGCAAGTATTACTTTCAACAAATTGTTCAAATGGAAAATAATAATCTTAACAAGATTAATAATATTCTTTCAAAAAGAATATTTTCTAAATGATGATATAAAGGGAAGGTTACAATTTCACTTCCTATTGATTTCTTAATGCTTACTATTAAAAATAGTGAGAAAAGCCAGAACTGGTTTGGCTCAGTGGATAGAGCGTCGGCCTGCGGACTGAAGGGTCCAGGGTTCGATTCCGGTCAGGGGCATGTACCTGAGTTGCGGGCACATCCCCAGTGGGAGATGTGCAGGAGGCGGCTGATCGATGTTTCTCTCTCATCGATGTTTCTAACTCTCTATCTCTCTCCCTTCCTCTCTGTAAAAAATCAATAAAATATATTTTTTAAAAATAGCAAGAAAATGAAGATGAACAAAATTACAATTCTAAAGCAACGAAAATTATTCTGTTTATTTTTCACCCAGTTGGGAAACTAGCAACAGTACCCATTAGTGAAATGTGAGCACGAGTTCTGAAACAAATTAATTTCAAGTAGAGCAGAAGAACTGAGATTCCAGATGAATGAATAAATGAGCAATAGAAGCTCAGTAAGAGATTACAAATTTAATAAACTAATATTGAAACAGGAGATATAAGAGCATAATAAAAAGAGGGTGGTAAGCATTCAGGGTGAATTCATAAAATGGGCCAGTGACATTTGGACTGAAATCCAGTAGGAACTACAAATGAAAAGTGGCAAAAGCTGTTGAAGCGTGGTGTTGAGATTTGTACACCACATTTGGAGTCAAATATTCTAAACAATGCAATTTATCCAGAAAAATATACTTAGTTCCTATCCGACCTTTAGTGATAAAATAATCCTACTACTGCAACTACTGGGGGGAAAAAACATCTGCAAGTATGGTTCTCACTTCTTGCTGATTTGGTTCAAAAACATTAGTCACAAGATGTTTAAACATCTCAACCACAAAACCTGGAACTGGAAAACTAATTACAAAACACGTAGAGCAAAAAGTTGTAAAATGTTTCCAAAGGAGTTGAAATATTGAGGAACAAAAGACAAAGACATTCTAGAAAGGATTTTAAAAATTACTCACTTTGGCAGAAACATCAACATCCACATTCAGCTGCTCTTCCGTATCCCCGCTAAGTGGGCCAGGTGGAAGGCTGGGACTAAAAGCCATGAGGTCTGTCTTGGGCGGCCCCTCCCCAGAGCACACCCTCCGCTGCCTCTGCTGTGAGTAAGACCAGCTGCCCACCGCGCTGGAGCACACCAGCACCTGCTTTCCCGGACCGCGTGCACCCTCGGTGGGCGGCGCCGAGCACCGCAGAGCCGTGTACAGCAGCAGCGTGAGCACCAACAGGCTGGACACCGCGCAGATGGCGATGATCAAGTACACGTTCACATCCACTAGCGCAGTCTCCGAGCTCACAACACCCGCCAACGCCTTCGACCGGGTCTTTGGCTCCTGGTTGCTGTCCACCAGCGACAGCAGCACAGTGGCCGTGGCCATAAGCGCCGGCTCGCCATGGTCCTTCACCAGCACCAGCAGGCGCTGCCGCGGAGAGTCCGCCTCGTCCAGGGCGCGCGTCGTGCTGATCTCGCCCGTGTACAGCCCCACGCGGAACGG